CCCCCCCCTCCGGGAAAGGATCCTGGTACGACGCCCCTACCTAAACGAGGGTCTTGGTACCATCCCCCCTTCCAACACCCACTTACCAATTTTCCCCATTTTCCAGTTTTTACCCAAAAGTTCTCCGTCGAGCGGGGAGGAGTTTATAGTCACATGAAACAGGAAAATCACGAAAAGTCAACAACGGACGAATATTTTTTCTCAACGCGGCAAATTCTCCCGAAGTTACATACGACCCCTCCTCCCCCAACAACGACCGAATACGGCCCCCTCCCCCGCCGAAAAGTACGACTCCCTTGTGTGTTTCACACAATGATGCTGTATCCTGACGGCGAAGACAGTTGTATTAGTACGCCGGTTTGCTTTTTAATCTTCGTCATGGAACAATTGCTCGAGGGATGGGGATTGACTTGAATTATATGGGGGATGGGACCATACGAGAGCACCTTTCGGAATGATGAACAGCTCCTCGAGGAGTGGGGAGTGGAGAAGGAGCGTTGACTTCGCAGCCCCTTGTTAGACCATACAAGAGCGCCTCTTGATGCGAATGACGTCACCTGTCGCTAAACTTAGAGTTTCTCTTTTTTCAGCTTTATTTTTTATAAGGCTTCTTCTTTCACTCGTCTACCACAAAATTTATGCATGACTACTGCGCTTTTAACGAGCCGATTGAGGGCCGTTATGTTTCCCAACATCTTCTGAAACATTTCTTTTATGGCTAACCGCACTATGCACTATGGAACATTCGGCATTGGTTAACCCTTTCTGAGACGCGCCCGCCTTCTATTTCCGCTCAATTGTAGTAACATTTTGAATACAATGTGTCCTATACACTGTGACTTAGGGATTTGACCGAGGTACAGGTCACTAAATTTTTCCGGATACTAATTTACCTGTCCCGCAGGGATAGAGGGCTAGTTTGTTGTGGGCGTCAACAAATTTTGGGTGACAGCAAAGTTTTTTGGATGGAAAACTGGAAAATGTAAGGAATTGGTAGTAGGTGCTGGGGGGGGTCGTACCGACACCCTCTTCGAAGATGGGGGCGGGGTCGCACTCACACTCACCATTTTTCACACACATGACGATGCTGTACCTTGTCGACGCGAAGCGCTGCCTCGAGATTGGTCCTGAACGCTGCCTATGAGCCACCACATTGGACTTCACCTCATCTGGTTTCAAAATTATACTGAAGGGACTCCCTAATGCTGGGGAAAATGTTTGCAAAATGTGACCTTTAGCAATACCCCTTTTGAAATTTCCTCCCGTGGTACGATCTGGCGTCTCCATAAATTTTTTCCCTAATTTTTTCAATTTCTCCCTTTTTCCCAAGAAAAGTGTCGTCGGGCGTAGATGAGGGGTATATAGCGCTATAGTGCACTTGGAAAAGAAAAACCGAGAAGTTGTGCAACCGAAAGCATTTTTGTTATGGTTTGTAGCAGATACGACCCCTTACCGAGCATCTCCAACGTACGCCCCAATTATGCCTTTAAATTAAATGAACTAACGACCAGGGAACAGCAGGTCTTGTTTTCATACACATGCTCGTTTTCATTCACCCCTCCCCCCCCCTTAGCTCACCAAAATATGCTCAGAGCAATTTTTATAGGACAATAAAGTCATATTCGTAGAATAAAAACGTCATTTCAATGTTATGAGTTGTTATCGCCAGAATGAACTAAGGACGGGTGGCCGTGAAAAAACAGAAAACAACATAGTTCTATAGAATCCATCTGGGATCAGCGGTGTGCAAAAAAACAACGCAGAGTAAGTGAGCACAGATCAGGCTGACTTTTGAGCTTGGAATTCATGGCCATTTTGCGAGCCAATAATTCCTTGGTGTTCTTTTGGCCCTTCTTTGAAGGCAGGGTACAGCATCGTGATGTGCGAAATGGTAGTGTAGGTACGACCTCCCCCCTCTGAGAGAGCGCGTCATTACGACCCCCCCCCACCTAGATGAGGGTCTCGGTAATTGGTAGATAGGTTTCCCCATACCTATCTACCAATTTCCCACATTTTCCAGTCCAGTTTTTCACTCAAAAATTTTTCGTCGAGCCGAGGAGGGTACATAGCCAGTTGAAAAGGGAAAATTTCTTTAATTATCTCCCAGTTCCTACCTCTTTCTACAAAAAATTTTGCTGTTGAGTCGAGCGGTGGGGGAGGGGGAGAATATAGTACACATGAAACAGGCAAAATCACACAGAATTCAAAAACCGGGAAAAGTTTTTTGCCAACGCAGCAAACTCCTCTCAAACGCACATACGACCCCCCCCCCTCTCCCAACGACCAAATACGACCCCCTCCCCAGCATAAGTAAAAGGTACGACCCTCCTATGTGTATCACACAACGATGCTGTACCCTGTTTGAAGGCATGGGTAAATTAATAACCAATAATTGATACAGAAGTAACTCTGTAAACAAATACGTCTGTTTCTGATTTCTCTTCCTGTCTTCTTGAGACGGTTTTTTCTTCTTTCTTAATAATCAATTAACATTCTTGATCGTGGTGTCATGTGGCGCGGTTAATCACGTGCACGGTCCGGGGTCAAATCCCGGATTGCAGGCGAGCCATCCAAGCCGTCTGTCTCTCACCATCAGATGTTAGACCTGTCTCTTTGGATCAAAAGTCTGGCTCAAACATCGTGTGAGCCTCGCCGGTCCCTGCATAAATCAAATGGCATTTAAATGACCGCCGCCGTACTGAATGAAGCAGGGTGCGCGGCGCATCCTATTAAAGGGCCCCAACGGCCCTAGCCCGTTACCATCCACGACAGGAAAAAATATATCATTTTTTGAAGAGTTCAGTAAGCTATCAGATCGTTTGGCAGATAACTTCGCATGTACCCAAGATGCAAAGTGTGAAGAGACTCGTTGCTTTAAAATAGCTGGAGCTGTTCGTTTTAGAGGGGCATTTTGCATTTTTGCTAGTCCCTTTTGCTTGTTCATTCTAACCGACAGAACTCTTTTTAGTTAAACTCTTGTGAGGTTACACGGTAATGCAAGTGAAAACTTTTTATCACAGTAGCTACAGATTTGACAAGGTTATACAGCTTCGCTGAGCATCATTCAGTTACCCCCCACTGAGATGCGAAGCGTGCCGAAACACCACTGGACATATTGAACGCCGCACAGGCACAATCATATGGCTTGAGAGTATTATTAAAGTCGGGTCTGACGCCCCCCCCCCTTTCTTGGCGGATTTGGTACGCATCCCCCTCCCCTTCCGGCCATCTGTCCTCCTCATGGAATGCGAGCGCGTCGAGCTGGGAAAGTTTCTTTCTCCATCCGTGAAGCGAGAAAAATAAATTATCAAAATAAATTTTTCCCAGCAGCTCAATACGACCCCCCCCATTGGGGATTCCCCAACAACGATGTGCCCTGCGCCGCCAAGCTTCATTGTGACTCCTGTATAAGGTTTATACATGTTCG